ACCGTCCCATTATGCACCTCAGTTTCACGCCACTTCTGTCCACCAGTTGTCCCCATCACTTTCTCCATCAACGCCGACCACATTTTTCGCTCCTGCAGCACCTCTGAGCAGACCTCGCTACGACCGGTCACCGTCCCTTGCTCGTCGTCAGTCCCGGTCGACCCCACAATGCCGTGCTGCCTCCTCGACCTATTCGCAGCACCTCCGACCGGAAAACTAGGCCGTGCAACTTCTGGAGGTGGAGCTGCATTGATAGCCTTCTTAAGAAATCCTCGCTTAACGTTACCGACGAATCGGAACCTTTTGGACGTTACTGTCGACAGTGTTCATGTCAGTGCATTGATAGATACTGGCGCGCATGTGTCCGTTATGAGTGCTAACCTTCGCCGCCGACTTAAAAAGTTGTCATGCCCGCCCTCAACCGAGCTGTACGAGTCACCGATGGAGGAACTGCCGCGATTCTCGGCATGAGGTCTGCACGAGTGTCTATTGAGGAGAGAAGCACTGTTGTTCTTTTCGCCGTTATCGAACATTGCCCTCATGAACTCATTCTTGGTATGAATTTTCTAGCCACGCACTCTGCCCTCATAGATTGTTCAGCTGGCTCTCTCCATCTCGATTTACCCCTCTTTTCCGACCCGACCAGCCCACCGCAAACCAGCCTCTGCTGCATTGATTTCACGCGCCTCCCGCCTAACTCTGTCACACATGTCGACTTATCCTCCACGCCACCAGTACCTGATGGTGATTACATGGTGGCCCCGATTCCTGCCGTGATGCTTACGCATGGGGTTGCTGTGCCGCATATTATTCTGATAATTACGAGAAACCGCGCCTTCCTTCCACTGGTCAACTTCTTACTCACCACCCAAGTTCTACCACAGGGTATCTCCCTGGCCAAAATTACCACTCTCCAAGATGACCATGTCGAGCCCTTCAGAGTGGACGATTGCTGTAGCTCAGTCAGTGGTTCCACTCCATCACGTTCTTGGGGCACCGATATCGAGCGAATAGTGTCATCAGACCTCACGTCTGAGCAAGCTGCAGCGCTTTGCCACATTCTTGAGGGCTATCGTAGCATTTTCAACTTTGCCAGCAACGCTTTAGGCCAAACGACCATTGTCACCCATCGCATAAATACTGGCCGTGCAACTCCCATTCACCGACGCCCCTACCGTGTGTCTGAGTCAGAGCGTGCAATATTACAAAATGAAGTCTGCAAAATGCTTGCGAAAAACATTATTGAGCCTTCATGCAGCCCCTGGGCTTCTTCAGTCGTCCTTGTTATATAGAAAGATGGAACATGGCGCTTTTGTGTCGATTACCGTGACCTTAACAAAATTACCAAAAAAGACGTTTATCCTTTACCTCGCATCGACGACGCCCTCGACTGCCTGTACAGTGCCACTTATTTTTCAACTATTGACCTTCGGTCAGGGTACTGGCAGATAGCCGTCGACGAGATGGACCGCGAGAAGACCGCATTCATCACTCCTGATGGTCTTTATCAGTTTAAAGTGATGCCCTTTGGTCTCTGCAATGCACCAGCCACATTTGAAAGAATGATGGACTCATTGCTCCAAGGGTTGAAATGGTCCACCTGCTTGTGTTACCTTAACGATGTTAATGTCTTTTCGCCCACATTCGACTCGCACCTCGATCGTTTGTCAGCTATTCTGGACGTTTTTCGTCGAGCCGGACTCCAGCTTAACGCCTCCAAGTGCCGCTTCGCTCGTCGTCAAATTTCCGTGCTCGGTCACCTTGCTCGATGCCCAAGGCGTGCGTCCAGACCCAGAGAAAATTCGCGCAGTCACGAACTTTCCTGTTCCGAGAACCACAAGGGATGTCCGCAGTTTTGTTGGGTTGTGCTCATATTTCAGACGCTTTGTTAAGGACTTTGCGACCATTGCATGCCCCCTCACAGACCTCTTGAAGAAAGAAGCCTCAGTTATCTGGGGCCATGGACCAAGCGTCATCGTTTTCCCAACTTACGACACTGCTTACAACGCCACCAATCTTGGCTCATTTTGATCTATTAGCCCCAACCGAGGTTCACACGGACGCCAGTGGACACGGCATAGGAGCTGTGCTATTGCAGCAACAACGGGGACACGACCGTGTTATAGCCTACGCAAGTCGACTTCTATCTCCAGCCGAGCGCAAGCTATTCCATCACGGAGCGCTAGTGCATCGCCCTTGTATGGACAGTCACCAAGTTTTGTCCATACCTGTACGGGCGCTTATTCCGTGTTGTCACGGATCATCACGTGCTTTGCTGGCTAGCCTCCCTGAAGGACCCCACTGGGACGTCTTGCTCGTTGGGCCCTACGCCTTCAAGAATACACGTTCTCTGTAATGTATAAAACAGGGCGATTACATCAGAATACAGATTGTTTATCCCGCTACCCTGTTGACGAAGCAACCGATACTGACGGTATCACGGATATTTTTTCCATGTCGCAGCTGTTGGACATTGGCGAAGAGCAACGTCGGGATGCTTCTTTATGAGCCATCATTGACAAACTAGAGTCAACGCCTCACGACCAGTCCCTGCGAATGTTTTTGGTGAAAGACAGTATCCTATATCTACTGTAACCTTGATTCCTTCGGATCAGACTTACTTCCTGTCATCCCAGCGCACCTGCATTCCACTGTCCTGCATCAACTTCATGGCGTTCCCATGACGGGCCATTTGGGCGTTTCTCGCACTGTACGATTGGGTACGACGTCGGTTTTTTTGGCCTGGACTTGCCCGCTCTGTTCGACGCTATGTCGCTGCTTATGAGCCCTGTCACCATCGCAAAACGCCCTCTGCCTTCCTGGCCGGCTACCTTGAGCTGATCGACTGTTCTCACTGAACCTTTCTTTCGAGTTGGTCTCGACCTGTTGGGACCCTTTTCCACTCTCCACAGCCAGAAATAAATGAATTGCTGTTGCCACAGACTATGCAGCACAGTACGCAATCACAAGAGCCCTCCTGACCAGTTGTGCTACAGTCTTTGCGGACTTTCTGCTGTACGACATAATATTAGTGCACGGTGCTCCCCGCCTACTTCTCACCGACCGTGGCTGCACTTTTTTATCAGCTGTCGTTCTTGAAATCCTGAGGTCTTGCCATACTAAGCACAAATTTACTACTTCGTACCATCCCCAGTCAATTGGCTTCACGAAGCGCCTCAACAGGACCCTAACCGATATGCTTGCCAAATATGTTGCACCAAATCCACCAGGATTGGGACATTCATTTGCCATATGTGACGTTTGCCTACGATTCATCCCGTCACAACGCTGCCGGCTATTCGCCCTTCTATCTCCTATATGGTCGGGACCCAATCCTACCTTTAGACACTTTGCTACCTGCGGGCACAGAATAAGCCGGGGAAGCCATTGCCCGCGCCGACCACGCGCACCAAGTCGCCCGTAATTGTCTAAAGTCTTCACAGGAGCACCAACAACAGCTCTACAATTCTCACCATAGGGACGTGCACTTTTCTCCGAGTTCTCTCGTGCTCCTCTGGTCACCTACTCGGCGTGTGGGACGGCCTGAAAAACTGTTGTCACCCTACACTGGACCATTCTGTATCGTTCGCCAAGTGACAGACGTCACGTACGAGATTGTTCGAACCGATCCAACAAAGTCATCGTCAGCTCCGAGCGACACCGTTCACGTGGCTCGGCTAAAGCCCTATTACGCCCCTTCGACATCATCTGCGTAAATTTAGCACCAGGACGGTGCTTCTACTGCCAGGGGCTATGATACATAACAGCCGCTAAACACGGCTGCATGAAAGAGGAGGACGAAGTGAGTTGTCATTTGATGCTGGACTGGCGCCATCTTGCTCGTCGAGTTCTGTGCATTGTAAATACCGTATTTACTTACATAATCCTCGCACTTTTTTTTGCCAGAAAACCAATGCGAATTTGGGGGGTGCAAGAATTACCCGGGGTAAACTTTCCATGAAAACACAGAGAGGGAAAAAGAAAAAGAATCGGAATCGTGTCCCAAATCGGGATTCTCACACCAGCAATTTACAGCAAGCTTTAAGAAGTACTAATTAAAACTTACCTCAACAATAAAAACAGAGGTTTAACACAAGGCAAGATTTATTTGATACACATAAAGTGGAAGAAAATAGTCGACAATTAGACTATCATACGCGAAGCTTGTGGGCGTTGCGAGCGTAGCGGTAGCAGTCGGCGCTCAACAGGAGCCCTCAAAAGGTAAGCGTAGGACATCAGTATTGGGCTGATGGCTATTTAACAAAATCATCCGCAGTTTCCTTCTCAAGAAATAAAGTTTAGCATCAATCCCAGTTTTAGGCACACGGCAGGCCCAACGCGTCTTGGTTGGTGGCTTTCAGCTGCCGTCACCAGTAGCGAACACAAAACTCGTAGGCTCCGAAGGGCCTACCGGCGGCCCTGTTGCCGTTTTTTAGCGCTTGATCTATCACTTGCAACTTGAAGCAGCCGTCTGGCTTCAGTATCACCCCATAACTTGCCAAGATTGCCGACACAACATACAAAACATGCCGCAACACGCACTGGCCACTTCGGCTTGGCTTGGATTGGATTGAATCTTTGTGCAATGGTACCCTTGATGCTTAAAAAATGGCGCCAGATGGCGTGCGCTATCATCATCAGTGGCTGGAACGAGCAGACGACATTATTGCGGCAGTTTTCGGGGGTGCGATAAATACTCGAGTAAAAAAAATCGTATTTTTCTTGGGCGATGTGGGGGGTGCGAAAATTATGCGAGTCCAAGTATACGTGAGTAAATACGGTAGATTATTAAAGAAGTTACTCGTAACATCATCTTTGTGAAACTTTTATGGCAACATTAGGGAAGGCATGCTGAATACTTCTGCTAATGCGCATTAAAATGTGTCATGTTTTGAGAAAGTTAGTTTTCCAAGGCTACATCCCCTCTTAGTATTCTCATATGTGTGCTTATGATGTGCTTTTTTTCATTTATACTAGCTGTTACCTGCTTTTTTCGTTAGGGCCAACAGCAGCAGCAGCAACAAGAGAAACAGGCAGACAAAGAAGACGAAAAGGTAAAATGGCAGAGTCTCATTGCAATGTAGCGGGCCCGCAACGTAACGGGAGCACCACCCATCTCGCACAACATTTCGCACGGTCAGCGTATGTCACAGTAATGTGCTGCCCGCAGCTTTCTGCGATTCCCCACACTTCCTGCTCCTAGCTTTCGTATACTGCTCCCCTGATCTCTTATATTGCATCTTTAAAACGCTTGCTGTTCCTTTTCTTTCCCCACTACTTGTTAAGCCCAAACTCCATAAGCGCGAAAATGCACGCGACAGCGACGAGCGACGCTATGAGCGACGAAACAGGGCGTTCGCGCGACGTGTCGCGGGGCAGTTTTCGCGCGATCGCTCGGTTCTCCAGATTTGGAAACCGTCGCTCATCGCCCGGGAGTGCTGGGCTCAAGCAGCCAATAGCGAAAAACCGGAAAAGACGAAGACTACATAGGTGCACGTGACCCTGCCCGAGTCACGTATGCGCAACAAAAAATAACGCAATGTTTATTACGCACGCGCACATAAAAAATGCTGCAAGGCAATAATAAACACTTTCCGTTCCATTACACAACAATATATCTTATTTTTTAATTGGAAACCGCTCGCTACGTGGTTTTCTTGGTGCGAGTTGACGGCCTCATGCCAGCAACAGTGGAATTCGCTCGCCGAAGCCGTCGCGTGAATGAGGTTTGCCTGCGCTAGCGACTGATCGCGCGAAGCCGATCTACGTCGCGTCGCTCGTCGCTGTCGCGTGCATTTTCGCGCTTATGGAGTTTGGGCTTCAATGCTAAACGTAAAGGCCGTAAAATCCCGAGCAAGCACCCCCCTCCCCCCTTCTCTACAGTGAAGCATAATCTGACAAACTTTAGAGGCAGGAATCTTGCTCGGTCATCAATCATAATTCAGGATGGTGGCAGAAGAGCCACTAAGAATATACTTTAATGAAATGCTTTATTGAATTCGCATGCATTCACTGTTTTCATGCACTTCGATCGGGTGAATAAAAACAGTCGAACTTGTGGGAACGGAGAGGAGGCCACATATTTGAAATATCCCGAAGACGAGAGGGTGTCCCTTGCTTGGGATTTTATGGTAGTGCGTTACTGTCACAAAACCACTTTGTGCACGCAGGCAAGTTCCTGCATTCGAATTTATTTATTTGTTTGATTTGTACACACGGACACACAAAAGACACACAGAAAAGGAGGAGGGGCAAGCTGGACCCGAAGGGACACAATGCCTGCTTACTCTTTCGGGAGGAGGGAAGAGATAGAGGAAAGAGATAGAGAAAGAAAGATAGGAGAGGAGAAAGGGGAAAGAAGAGAAGAAGTAAACAAAATGATGACATAGACAAGCATAAGTAAACTAGAAATTAAAAAAAAAGAGCCTATAAACTGGTCACCAAGTCCTCTTGGTCCATAAAAGTCAGTAGAGCTCAATGGGCCTGGTTGTGTCAGGGAATCAGATAATCAGCAAAGCCCACTGCGTAGCGAATGCAGGACAGTGCACTACAGTGCACTAGATGCTCAAGTGTTTTGCAGAAACCACGGGCTGCGCACAACGCACTGTCAACACGGCCTTGACTGTATAATCGTTCGCACACCAGCACACAACCTACCTTTAGTTTGTATAACAACACTCTGGAGTGATGAGCCAAGCCACGGCCACAAACACGAGGACGGAACGATGCATTCACCATACACTGGTCAGAATGCGCCATGGAGGTGCACTGTAGCCTAAAAACACTCACGGCAGTGTTCATAAGCTGCTATGGCTGCCTAGCTTGCCCCTACTCTGTAATTTGACCTTTAGTCGTTCACTAGTAGCAAGGTTGCTGTCCGGTTACATTAGTACGCAGTAAAGCATGCCACTCCACTGCCTGGTTTTCTCAATGTGTGTGCATCACTCACAGCACATTCATAATCTTTGGCACCCTTTCACGAAAAAAAATGCAATATGCTGGCTTTTGAAAACTGCATGATTACCGTAAAAAGCCGAATATAGGTAGAATTTAAAAAAAACGCCATCAAAAGTCGACTTTTGTCTAATATACCGGTCATTAGCATAAAAAATGTGGAACTATCGCTACAATTGGCAGCTGATTCAAAAGCCTTCATTGCCATCATGAGCATCAGCAGCGGCGCTGTTAGGCAAGGCTAGGCCTACAGCGTAATAGCAATGCCATTTTGCCTTGGGTGTTTTTGTCAGTCTACTATTTTATTTTTCTATTTCCTTCAGAAATGAGTAGTAATCAATTGCAGTTTACGATAGGCTTTAAGAAAAAAAAAATCGCAACATATTCATGGAGATGATGAGTGGGGCAAAGTGTCTGTTCATTTGTCTGTGCATCCGCCTGTGCATCCATCCGTCCATCTGCCTGTCTGTCTGTTTGTCTGATACTGCTGGTTACGCCTGAGGCACGACAAGTTCAGACTAAGAAAAGCTTCGCCCCTAAAAGTTATCGAGTATGCTGAAGCATACAGCAACCTGGCATTACATTGGGAATTCGGTGCATTGTAGAAAAGCATCCAATACTATAGGAGTCAAAAGCAGCGCATCAGATTCTGCAGCAATGAAAAAAAAAAATTTTTGTTTCTTGGACGGACTGCAGTGCACCCCGAACTAGAAACGCAACTCGCCGAATTCATTCGAAGCTGCATGCAAGGTCACTACACGTGACAGCGGAGTGCATCCGTGTAAAAGCTATCGAGCTAGTGCGCCACTCCGGGCTCCCGAGGTTGCATTTCAAGGGCTTCGCCATCCGGGGTGTGCCAATTTATAAAGTGGAAGGGGTTTGTGCTGAGGACGTGTGCCAAAAACTGCCCGAAGATCTCGATAACAAGCTGGTCGAGCATCATGGCTTTGTCATAGGGCTTCGTCGGCAGCTTTGCTACATGATAGGGCACATGAGCAAAAACTCCAATTTGGTTTGATATGCCCTTGAACCGGACTGTGACCGCTAAAGGATCCAAGCAAGTGAAGTGCTTGAGAACAGGCAACGAGCATTCGCGATTTACAGTGATGCGTGCACAGCCGATGGAAAGAAGCTGCTTCCTTATATAATTAATATAAAGAAAAGGGCCACGAGAAGAAGACCTCTCCCGAGATGTTATCGTGGCAGCGAACGAAAAAGGATTCATGAATCAGTCTTTTATGCTTGAGTGGACTTTGCCTCCTGTGAAATCGGCGACCCGGTGCGCTTTTTCAGCAACAGAGCATGTTGGTGCTCAATTCATTTCGAGGCCACCTTACGACCGATGTAAAGGTAGTTCTGTCTCGATGGCAAGATGGACCTTGTCGTGATCCCTGGGGGACTAACTTCAATCCTCCAGCCACTGGGTGTAGTGCTCAATAAACCCTTCAAAGATCGTGTGCGCGAGCTCCACAATGAGTGGATGCTAGGCGACAATCACAAGACCCCTGTTGGCCGTCTACTACGTCAACCACTCGCGACCAATTGTGCTGGGTGTTGTGAGCTTCGAAATCTCTCCCTGAAGAGAGGTTGCACTAGGAGGATGATGACCTCTGAGACGTAACTTGTAAGAAACAGATGTCGTCGGACTGAAGTTCAGACAAGTCTCAGTGACAGCACTTTCTGGCCATCTGGCGTTTAACTACATCAAATTAGTGTCGAAATACAAAGAAATGTCACCACAGTGAAGCTGGTTGTATTTATCAAGCATACTTATCAAGGTTAGGGTGCGCCGCGATACTTTGTGACTTTTTAAAATTTATTTTTCGAAGATTCGAAGTTGGGGGGGGGGGGTCGATCTATATCTCGGTCTGACCTATATTCCAATTTTTTCACGATAAGTTTTTCTAGCAGAGCTGTGCGAATAGCGAAATTTTGGGTGTGGAGCAAGTTCATATATTGAAGGGTGAGTGTGAATAGAAATAAATATTTTTCAAATATTTACAAAACATTTTTCAGATACTTGGAAGTGGAATTGCAGACGAAAAATTTGGAGAGGATTCCTAGGTGTTTTCTTCTGAGATAGGAGCACAAAAGCGTTTCTTCTGGCTAGATTAGGATCTCGAACTACATAGAACGCAATGAACTATTCCCACACAACATATCGGCTTCAGGCCTGGCCTTTCCACACAAGATGTAATGCTACTTCTTAAGAAGCACATTTTCGATAATAGCACTAGGGATGTTAGGGGGATCTTAGCCCTTGACCTGACCAAGGCCTTTGACACCGTATCTCATCGCTTTGACTTGCAGGCCACGGCCAGCCTAGGTCTGGGAGCAAAGTTTCAGGCCTTTGTTAGGTCTTTCCTGATGAATAGAACGGCTACCGTAAGTATCGCTCAACACAAGTCAGACGAGTTCGCCTTAGGTGCCAGAGGCACTTCCCAAGAGGCGGTCATCTCCCCCTTGTTATTCAATATAGTCATGAAGGGCTTATCGGAGAGGCTCAGATGCCTGCCCAATATAGGCCACTCGCATTACGCGGACGATATCACGATCTGGTGCCCGGGAGGATCACTCGCAGAAGTAGGAAACGCGCTGCAATCAGCCCTAGACGAAACGGAGTCCTACCTAGAAGGCACAGGCCTCCAACTCTCTCCAAACAAATCAGAACTGTTACTGTACAGGCCGGCCAGGCAAGGCGTTAGGAGACTTCCACACCTCGACCAAATTCCCATCTCCCTTTTTGCAAGAAATGGACAGCACATTCTACGAGTAGATTCAATCAGAATCCTAGGACTACTGATTGACGCGAGTGGATGTAACGCTAAAACACTGACGCACATCACGGCCAAAACCGAAAGCATGCTGAGACTTGTTGCTAGAGTATCAGGACGCAGAAAGGGACTAAGTGAAGCCAACCTACTTCGGATCCATCATGCCTTCCTAATGAGCCACATTAATTATGTAGCATCGGCGCTTAGCTGGACTAGAATGGAAAAAAATAAGCTAGACACTCTCATCCTGTAAGAGCATCAAAAAGGTGCTAGGGTTACCAGTAACCACATGCTCTGACAAATTAAGACAACTCGGTATGCACAACGAGATTGATGAAGTGATCGAGCGCAGATCACCGCCCAGGTGGTCAGGCTCTCGTCAACCAAGACAGGAAGACGCATCCTGGACGAGGCTTGCATGGCTCCCAGAATGCTTGCTGAACGGGAAATTACCTTATCCCGGGAGGTCCAGGAAACCTCTGTTGGTCAGTCCATTCCTCGGAATATGCACCCGCAATACAATGTAGGGAGCCGAAAAGCCCGAGCACGGGCGATATTACAGAACGCCGCCGAGAATCGAGAATCGACTGTCTTTGTCAACGCGGCTCAGTACGGCAAGTCTAGCACATTCGCGCTGGCAGTCATTGACAGCAACGGGGAATTACGCTCCTCAGCCTCGGTCAGGTTAGCTACGAGCGCAGTTGCAGAACAGGTCGCCATAGCCCTGGCCATGACCGACCGCTCACACACCACCGTGTTAACAGATTCACGAGCGGCCATCAAAGCTTTTGAGTTCGGGTAACATAGCGCGGGAGGCTGCCTCCATTCTGGAAAAAAGAACAGACCCTGGCATTCACTTAATCTCTTGGTTTCCCGCCCATATGGGTGCGGACGTTCATCAGCACGTACCTGACCTCAACGAGCTTGCCCATGAACGTGCGTGAGATCTAACGCTCCGCGGCGGCATGGAGGCCTTATGGGGTCAGGATGAAATCCAGGCATAACGATCCACTCCTTACGTTTAATGAAATCACATCTCACTATCGGCTAAGTAGAAGAGCCTATCCTCTTCCTCACTCGAAGTTAGATAGGTCTCAGTCAATTACACTTAAAATGCTCCAGAAGGGCTCGTTCCCCTCGCGGGGCCTTCTTAGTCGTATGTCCACAGACGTTGATTCAAGTTGTCCGGAATGTAATTAAATTTATTGTTCCTTAGCGCACATGCTTTGGCCCTCTATCCAACAACCTAATGGCCCTCTATCCAGCGAAGCTGACTGGGAAGAAGCACTCCGGAGCCCATCGCTTCAAGCACAAATCCAGGCAATCCAGAGGGCCCAAGAAAGGGCGGAACATCACGGTGTCCCAGCCCCGACTTGGACGCGGCCAGCGGCTTCCGCGGATTCCCGATAGGGGTTCCCGCGAAAGCTCCTCAGGATCAAATAAAGTTACTTGTCTGTCTGTCTGTCTGTTCTGGCTAGATTGATGAAGCACTGGCGGAGTGGGCTTCATAGTTCTTTTATGAAGAATGAGGCAATGCAGAAGCTGAATTGTATTTATCTACATGATTCCCTGCAGCCGAAGTATTGCTGATAACACTACACGTGATCAGCAAAGATTCTATTTCATCAGCCTCTCTTCTTATAATTTCTGTGGAAGTCCAACTGTTGTGACGGACAAAGGTGTGCTCTCTTCAAGTCTGAAGTTTCAAATCTGTCTTGTGGAAGTATATACAAGAACATATGAAATTTTGGATGCTAAAAATCTTTGGCGTCCGATAATTTTTGACTTCTTGCCAGAATTTCAGGTAAAAAAAAGAAAACAACAGAGTCCCCCCCCCCTCCCCGCCTTTTCCTCATAAGTCGTCTTCATGTTGAAACCAGCATTTTCTCGCATCAACACTCATGCAACTGTGGCGGAGCCTTAAAGGCAGTTTTGCCGCAATACGAAAGTGTGATGGGGTGAAGCATGTGAAGATTTGAAAGGGCTATTATTTATTTGATGTTGACTGTATGTTTGGGACGCGAAGCTAAATGAAACAAAAACAGTTACATACATATTGTTATGGATGAGAGATATTTATTGTACAGGTGGGATGATAGGTGGTTGCAGGAGTAAGGCCTGGCACAGAACACATTCACTTCTTTTTCCTCTACCCCACTTCAACGAAAGTCCCGTATCGATATAATTATAATACACAAAGAGTTGTTTTCTTACAGTCTTCCAGCTAATCACTTCTTGACGTGAATGAAATTTTGAGTGACCATAACTAATAGTCTCAGCTCGAATTCTCATATCGCTGACACTTGTGCTTCTTCTTTTCATAAACTTTGTATTCTGCGACACAAGCTAAAACAGGCGCGCTCAGAAGCTTAACTGCATTCATATTAAGCATAGGGTTTTCTAAAATTAGCTCTGCGATCGTTCAGCGACAATGGGAATGATGGGTAGTACATGAATTCGCTTAGTGTTCCTACTTACGGGCCGTGAATCACACTTGTGGCTTTGTTTATAGTCGTGTTTCGGTTTCGTTTTGAAGAAAAGAATGACCCTTTTGAACTATTTGACCCTATTCGAAATGGTAAGCCTAAAAAAATTAAGGTGGTGAAGCGCAACCGCTGAACGTTCGCCGATTTTTGTTTCGTGAGAAAGCAGCTCCAAGTCACACAAACACACACGAAGCCAGAAGTATCACAATTGCACAAATTCATGTACTACTTGTCATTCTCATGCTCGCTGGAGCACCATGCGTTGCCGCTCCCATAGACTATTGCCAGAGTTCTCTCTAGTGAATATATAGCAAATTCTATGATATTGAGCACTAATAAGGCTTAAGTCGAAATACGCTCGCACTGTCTGGGATCTTCACACCAGCCACAATACTAATGCGCTTTAAAGAGTTCAGCATAAGGCTGTTAAATTTATTTTTTTCTAAAGTCCATAGCACCAGCTCACCAACAGTTCTCATAAATTCTCATGGTATACAAACCTTGAAATTACCACATAAAACATGCAGGCTTAAATTTGTGTTTCTCCTAAAAAATAACAAACTATATCTTCAACCTTCTCCATACCTCAGACCATTAGCAACAAGACTAACCAGGCATCATCACCCTGAATCCTTAACTCCGTATTAAAGAAGAACTAACACATTCAAGTTTTCTTATTTTTAATCGCTCTATTGACTAATGGAATGCACTGCCGTTGTCATTGATTAATTCAACTGAATTGATTGACCTAATTGATTTTTAATATGTAATGTGGAAGTTGAAGTATATGTTTTTATGTGTTTTCTTTGCCTTTGCACTCTCTGTGTTTTGTTATGTAGTTTTGCCCCTCCTTTCTGGGCCCATGGGGATCAACAGTATGTTCCAAATAAAATGAAGTTAAAATATATCGTGGACCATTTGCATGCAATTCTGTGCATAGCATAGCTCGTTTAAAGACATTTACCACTCTTGGTAAGACTGGAGCTTGGCCACACGTCCTTTCTTACCCTTATCTTGCTTTGCCATATTTCTCAGCAGAATGAGGAGCTCCTACAGAAACTGAAGCTCTCCGAAGACGAAAATGCCCTTTTTCCTTCGACTACCAAGAACGTCAAGTCGGATGCCGCGGCTGGGAAAGAGGCGACAACTGTACCTCTAGACGCAGGCGATGTCAAAACAACCTGACCTAACGTGCATTTTTGAAAAAATTTTTACATTTCGTTCACTTGTTTTTTGGACTGCAAGTTTAAAATAATCTTTTGCCAAGAGGCTTTGCCAGGGATCGCTGCTATATTGAGCGGAATGTACAACTTTCAAACTCTCAGTGTATGTCAACTGCTCAAAGAAAGTTGTCAGCAGTGAATACATTTTCACAGAAGGATTCACATAAAGCTATCCTCCTCTTTGAGATGTGCTGGAACAGTTCAATGTCTGGCCTGTGTGTTCTGTAGTTGTTATCGTTGTCATTAGACCATTCTGTGTTTGTGTTAACTAGAGGCAGGACCGAGTGGTCTTGCAAATTGTTTCGGCAAGTGGTGCCAGGGAGTTGTCTTGGAAGGCAGATCAACCAGTTAGAAGGCAACAAGATTTAGATTTCATTTTGTGAGGTTGACGCTAAGGTCTGAGAGAAGCTGTAGGCAATGAAACATTCCTGGTAGTTTTGTTGCAGATTTTTCATCAGTTGTTTTGCCATTGTACTGTGCACTTGCGATTACACCTGTTTGCTTGTAAATGTATTGGTATAGGAGTCTGATGGGATGTGCAAAGGCTAGGATGTTTGTATGAGGTTAAGAAGGCTGCATTTATGCTCGGTGTTTGCACATGTGCGGTTTGTGTAAGAAGATTTTAAACTGCTCACTCTATTGTTGATGAGGCTTGCCGCTAGGATTGTGAGCATGTCTTGAACACCAAGGCTCAAGCTAGCGAGGAGCCTCACACTTCTTGCCTCACAGATTTTGTGTAAGGTGAGAAGACACGCAGAGGTACAATTACTCCTGGTTGAGTCATGGCACTTAGTTATGTGCAGAAGTAGGCAGTATTGTACCAGGTCATCTGTGGAAAGCTTTGGAGCTTCAGAAATCGGTCACGACAGGCCCGATTGCACGTATTGGTGTCTTGAAGCTTTTGGAAAAAGCATTACAGTCTTTGCAGGAAGTTTACAAAGCACAAAATATCTGAACAAAACTGGCGGGGGTGCACACGACCAGCGCAGTGCTGCGCTGCCACACCAGTTGTGATTATTAATCGAATGTGAATGCAGCTTTCTCACTAAATGCATATCCTGTGTACTTTTGCCACTGAGTGTACCTCATGCTTAATATAAGCAGCGTATTGCGAAGAGAGCTAAGTACACCACTCACAAATGTGTGTTTTTACGGCACAAGCAGCTAGCGAGAAAAGTTTGCTTGATGATTCTGCAGAACACACCCGCTGTCTAAAGCAAAGCGCACAGGCAACAAATTAGCGTGGAACTTTTTTTTCTACAGTTCACACATTTCAAGAAAATGTTTGTACACATGTATGAATGCGTGGCAGCAACATTGCAACTTCATACAGAGCCTTAAAAGATAGGCGGCGACTGTGAAAGAGTGGGTAAGTCAGCCATCACAGTGTGCTTTTTCGAGATCTCGAACGAAATATATATATACATATATGTGTATGCACCGTTATCATAGTGCAAATTCCTGGTAACTGATTAATTACTAGCAGCTTTCCTCAACACAGAAACAAGGGGTATGTTGTTCCAATGTTTTTCTAGTCAGGTTTGCTTTGAATTACTTATTTCAGCTGGCAGACTTTGAATGAGTGCCCTTCAGCTAGCAACAGTGAGGACATATGACATGATTGCTGAGTCGTCCAGCCAAATGGATGTTCTTATTTGCAGCAAGTAGTCAATAAAAAACGTCAATTTGAGTGAAGTTTGCTATTGTAGTTTTCATATAATCAAGTACCTGACAAACTCGTGTCAGTGTGAACTGCAACACAAACCAGTTTTAGAGCAAAATGAAATGCTTCTCTTTTTTGTTTTGCATTAACTGTACAATAAAGTGAAGATAGGTTGATAAGTTGCACTTACATTTCATGTGACGAAAAAAATCCTCAATTTTGCCAAAATGGCAAAGCAATTATTGCGATATCAGCACACTGAAATACTGTACGAAGTAAGGCTAGCAGCTTTAGGGTGACGTAGCTGTGCTCTATGCTCCCGAATGGCAGGATTCTGCTGACAAGCCCTTGGTGTTGAGCTGCAGCATGTCTGATACGTAGCTCCATGTCATTCCTACTTGTCAACACGCATGCGAGTGTGCTTTTTCTTCAGGTGCAACGAGCATTTCGTTGCAGCCCTTCAGCTGTTGTTGGGACGATACGCAATGCACATGGAATGAAGAATATGAGTGAAATGACTCTCCGGTCAAGCTTGCTTTTCAGTTTGTAATTTTAAAAACTAGCCCTATGTTTCCAGACTGTTCACTCTCTTTTTTTAAGGGGATGTCTGTGCAGCCGGCTCCGAAGCTAGCTCTTTTTAGTGAATGTCTCCCTCTCCACCATCATTGACGATGCAGAAGGAGACAAGACCTCTTTTTATTCTTATAGTTTCACCCAGCCAGACAGATTTCTGTCTATGTTTACCCTTAAAACATGGAGTGAAGCACATAATCTATCTGTCTATGTGCTGGAAAAATGTCAGCGCTAACTCGAGGTGAGGGCTTTGCACCATCTTGTAGGCATTGTATTAGCAATTTTCCACAGCACTGATGTGCCCCACACATATAACCTTGACTGAGCTTAAAGGTTAGGTTCGCAGAACCAGGCGTTCTCTGGGATTGTACCTGGAGGAGCAGTGCTGTTGTTCTAAAAATTTTTAACTGATAATTTTGCTTTTGCAAGCACTTCAACAGATGTATTTCTATTAATTAGGGTAGCAGCCTGAGTAAAATTTTTCGACGTGCCATTACATCCCAAATACAAGAAAAAGCCATATGCCAAAGTCCATGACGCCATACTAACATATATCGGCACCGTGGTTTCACCACAAAATTTTAGTAGCGAAGGTCTAAAGTTCAGTTAATCTTCGAGAAATCAAGTCCTAAATATATGAAATAAACTATCCCTTTCATGTTATTCTTTAGCAGTCTTAAACTTATTCAGTGTTTCTCTGCAGTGTCCCAGGTAACAATGCGATGTTAGATTATTTGATTTCCAGCTGCGAGTTTGACACAAGTGTGCACTATCATGAGATGCGCAGATGGGCCACTTGAGTATTGCTTCAAGGTAATCTAGGTTGTAGCAATACATGTCTGCAGAGAAGTAATGTTTGAGCCTTGGAGACAACTTTGGAAGAATTTTTAGTGAAGCAGCAGGGTGTTTAGCATGGCTTGCACTCACTCTTTGCTGTATATATATATATATATATATATATATATATATATATATATATATATATATATATATATATATATATATATAATAAATACTGCAACCCACAAGTGGGGTTTCAGCAGAGTGGCTATACGTTTGTCATGTTTCAAAATTGGCAGACACAATGGAAATAAAATGGATAAAGTATGTACAGGTGTACAGGTTTTCAGAAAATAGAAAAAAGAAAGACAAAAAACGATGATAATTTGCAACAAAGAGGCATAAGGACATATAATAAAATCAAATCAACAATGCATTGAAGATGAACACTAGCATAGGATAAACACTGCAGTGAATTAAATAAACAGCACTCGTACATGTAATACAGTTCACACACTTACTGCTGGAGCTGCATAGAAAAAAGATTCAAAAATGACTGCAAAACAACATCGTTATTAAAATTACTTCATTTGGTAATTGTCCAGGAGAAAATGAATATTTGAATGTGTTATTATGGGTAGGGAAAGAAGTCAATAAGAAGGCGTGCCTCTGCTTTTTAACATATCCTGTCAAAAAATGAAGAATGTGCGATAAGTCTTGCTAAACTAAGCTTTAGCTATCTGAAACGAATTTCCATCGCAATACTTTGTTTCTCTGTGTTTGAGGGGTAGGTTGCCTTTTGCTTATAAACATGTTATTGAAGTGTGGCCCATACTTATAAGTAAGTCTAACAGCTAATTTATTAATTTTTTTATTTTGTTGATATTCGTTTTAGTGTGATGCTATTAAATTAGAGATGCATATTCTGCCTTGAATGCAGTAAGACGAACGGCAGGAGTGGAAAGCTTGAAAGCTTGTGTAATACAGGAGAGTTTGTAATTTCGCAAGCTTATTACACTTTTTATATGTCTCGCTCAGTTGGGGTCATGCGAAATCGAAAGACCGAGGTAATTTTAGCATTGTACCTCCTCCAGAAGAAACATTATTAGCCGAATATCTGAAATGACGAGGGCTACCTTTGTGAAAAACTTTCATAAAAACAGTCTTTTTAAAATTAACTGACGTCTGCTATTTATCGCACCAACGAATATTTTTTCGAAATGCATCATTCAAATGTATTTAGTCTGCCCGGTTTTCCACTTTTAAATAAAGAATGCAGCCATCAGCATTATAACTTGATGCTTACTAGTATATCATGTGAAATATTGCTGATAAACAACAAAAATAGGAGTGGCCTGAGCACTGAGCTATCAACAACAGATGCATGGTACTGTATGTCAGATTACCACCAGTGATTGCAGCTCCATCTATTGGCATGGTGTTCAAGCAAAATAAAATATAATCATTTTTTTATTTGGAAGTGCTAGTAATTATGTGAAAGTTACCAACTTCAAGTGGTTAGAGATTCTATATATACTGAAAAAAGGCTAAAGAAAACAGCAGAACTCTACAAACTCTGTTTTGTGTTTATTATCCTGGGTTTTTCTGCAACAGCACATTTTTTTGTTAGGGGTAAAACACAAAAAGACCGATAATGTGACCAAAAAGATAGTAGAGCGAAGTACTCATTACTACTTCTTTACTGAAACGAAGTTGCCAGTCATTATCACCGTCTAATGTGTATCCACAAGTGTTTGTGTGACTCATGTAAGTGTCACTTCAATGAGTGCCATCATGCATCTGTACAAAGTGCTGTTTGTGCCCATATAATGTTGTCCAAAATTTCTAAAATGACGGAAGTTTGCAGTAAACAGATCTCAAATCTGTATTTTAGCCAAATGTTGAATCTTCTCAATTTACTTTGTACTTCGCGTGCCACTTCACAGGTGCTAAAATTACATTACGTACACTATTTTCTCCATGTGTATGTGCGTTTGCCATTGTTGCATAGTGCTTGAGTACAGCTGTCATCAAATGTTTGCAGACTGCGATAGCTAGAACAAGCCGAGTATATGTGCAGTTACTGCGTGCAGCCTGCACGCAGTAACTTAAATTTCTAGCTTGTACATTTGTGGTCATAGTTGTGTACAGTTTTGATGGCTGCTGGGAAAACCAAGTGTTATCTCACATCATTTGGTTCATAAACTTTTGTCAGATTCTAAACAAGTGATGAATGTCACTGCACTTACGTGCACTTCGTGTTTGTGTTATCTCCTGTTTTCGACATGTACATAAGGCACGTCTCATAGTTGTTACTTGTTAGGTTGTATACTTACTAATGATTGGTTGTTCACTTTATATACTTACTAATGATTGGTTGTTCACTTTAGCTTCATAAACTGGGCCTCAATGTTTCTCTCTATGAAAAATCTTCATTACAACTGCAGCTATACTTTGTTCAATTTTCTGCCATCTATATCCTCTTTAGTTTCATAATTTGTTATCGTCTTGGCAGTTTGAAAGGACGCAATGGTTACGCAGTGGTGAATCTCGTTGATCAATTGAGAGAAGGAGCACATGTCGTGCTCAAGCATTCTGCGCCATTATACTCTCGCAGCAAACTCTTTTCCATCTTTATATCGGCGAGTGCATTCTACTGAGATTTGAAGGTTATGTTGTTTGTGACTTGAGCGTTTTACATGGGCAAGTCGTCTTACCGGGCATCGCATTTTGTCTTAGTTGTTTATGAAGCCTGCTTATAATAAATTGGCAAAGGAGGTGACACTTCTATCATGTTTTCCCTTGTTTAAATTTTTTTCACGCTGTTTTCGAGGATGGCTTCAATATTACATGCGAACACTGATGGACCGTTTCATGTCAACATGATGCAGAATCGGCAAATGTTGGATACCAGTTTCTATTGAATCTAGCAGTCATTCGCTGGCTGATTAAACTTGGAATCCAAGCAACCACTTACTGATTTATGTTGAAAAAAAGCAGTAAAATGCCTGCCCTAAGGCAGTTAACGCACAAGTGCCATGTGATGTAGCAACTTAATGTCGTTGTGCTTCACGGCTTTCGCAAAATCTTTTGCTTCAGTTCTTTCCTACTGCAAGCTCTCTTTTCATACACCATCGTGACGATAATACGATGTGTAAAATTTTATAATTGTAGTGCTTCTAACAAGTTGGGCTTCCTCTGATTTTTAGCCTGTCGGACCATGACAGCATGTTGCTAAAAGTTCGTCCCTAGCAGTCGAGCTTCTACATAGTTTGATGTCTTTTACGTCATGCACATAGAAGGCGCAATCAAGTCCACACCAGTCGTGTGAACCCTGGAACTTGCTTTATTTAGTACATGTGGTGCCATAGCTTTTACATTGTAGTATCCACTGGACTGCAAGGCCCATTTGCTTGTAAATAAATATATTGGAAAACAGGAAAGCTTTCTGTTGAGTATCTGATTCTGCATTGTTCTGTGTAAACTGCTGAGTTAATCTTAATCAGACCTCACTTGTAAACAACAAATGCACGTTGATAACAAATGTTTAGCTCTTTGTGAGCTAGTTATATTATATTCAGAATGGCAAATGCGTAGAGTTTGTGGTTAACCATCTCGTATAGAAACGCACTGGGTGTTATTTCTATACACTATTCTCTCTCACATGCACGTGTTGAATAATAAGAGTTGACGTGCAGTTGTTATGTGATGTAAGCTCTGTAGCTTGCATGCTGTAAGTTAAGCAAAGGACTGCCGGAATGGCTGAAAAGAACTCTTTTGTTTTGCTGTGAAGCTGAATGAACTATTACTGATGGTGATGGT